ACTGAATAATCCATTCCTGAGATGGGAAATTTTTTGAGTTATGGCAACTGGTTTGGAGGGTTGAAGCAAAAGAAGAAAATCCATATGGAAGCTGAAAAAATAAGGATTAAAAGGAACATTGTTTTGGTGTCAAAAGAATAAAGTATAACTTACCTGCCTTCTTTATTTTCTGTTTTTAGCTCTGCTGATGTCAACAATTGTTAATTTGTGATTCATTCTGAGTGATATGACTTAAGTGTGCAACCTAAGGGTATTGAAATCTTTAATAGTCCATCTTTGACTTAGTCTTTGGATTAACTGTTGTGCTTTGTGTCAAGAGAGTGCTAATTTAATTTTTCATATTGTCAATATTGTAATCATGTTTCCTAAGAGCTCAGATAATGATAATCAGAATGATTACAACACTAAGCAGTATGACCCAGACATCACTGATCATGAAGGCTAAATGACTATTTTTAACGACAGCTGGAAGGACACATACAACTGGATTAAAGAAATAAATAACCAAACAGAGCATATTATACAATATGATGAAAATCATTTGGACGCAGAAATAAACCCACACATATGTGGTCAATTAATTTACAACAAAGGAGCCAAGAATATTAAATGGGGGAAAGGACAGACTCTTAAATAAATGGTATTGAAAAAACTGGATATTCACATGCTAAAGAATGAAATTGGACTATATTATATTATAAACAAATATTAACTTAAAATGTTTTAGACTTGAATGTACCTGAAACCATAAAACTCCTAGAAGAAAATATAGGTGGTAAGATCCTTGATATCGATCTTGGTGATAATTTTTTTAATGTAAAGGCAACAAAAGCAAAAACAAACAAGTGGGACTACACCAAACTAAAAATCTGCACAGCAATGGAAATCACCAACAAAATTAAAAGGTAACCTCGTGAATGACAGAAAATATTTGCCAATAATATATCTGATGAGGGGTTAATATCCAAAATATATTAAGAATTCATCTAACTCACTAGCAAAAAACTCAAATAATCCTAGGCACAAGACGTCAATAGAAATTTTTCCAAAGACATTCAAATGGCCAAGGTGTACATGAAAAATGCTCAACATCACTAATGATCAGGGAAACACAAATGAAAACCATAAGGAGATATCACTTCACACATGTTAAAATGGCTATTATCAAAAAGACAAGAAATAACAAGTGTTGGCAAGAATATGGAGAAAAGAGAACCCTTGAGCACCATTGGTAAAAATATAAAGTGATGCAGCCCCTATGGAAAACAGTATGGAGGGGGAGGTTAAAAAATTAAAAATAGAACTACCATATGACCCAGCAATTCCACTTCTGGGTATATAGCCAAAGAAAATGAAAACACTACCTCAAAATTATATATGCACTGCCCATGTTCACTGCAGCATTATTTACAAAAGACAAGATATGAATACAACCTAAATGTCCATCAATGAATGAAAATGTGGTCAAATATATATACAATGGAATATTATTCAGCCATAAAAAGGAATGAAATCTTGCCATTTGTAATGGCATGGATGGATCTTGAGAGCATTATGCTAAGTGAAATAAGTCAGACACTAATACAATATATTTGTATGATCTCACTTATATGTGGAATCTAAAAAAAAAAAGAAAGAAAAGAAAAAACAAGCTCATAGATATGGAGAACAGATTGATCATTGCCAGTGGTGTGGAGGGTTGAGTGAAATGGATGAAGGGGGTCAAAAGGTACAAACTTCAAGTTATAAAATAAATAATTCCTAGGAGTGTAATGTACAGCATGGAAACTATAGTAAACAATACTGTATTACATATTTGAAAGATGCTAAGAGACTAGACCTTAAAAATTCTCATCACAAGAAAAAAACCCTGTAGCTATGTATGTGATGGATGCTAACTAGACTTATAGCAATTATTTTACAATGTATACAAATATTGACTTATTATATTGTACATCTGAAACTAATATAATGTTATATGTCAATTATATCTCAATTAAAAAAAAGAATTTGGAATAGGTATGGTGGAGAAGGTGATGTGAAAGCATATTTGGAGGTTGAATCTCAAATTTCTTGGATAAAATAAGCAAGTATTTTTAAATCAACTACATTTTTTTTGTTTCCCAAATTAAAAACAACAGCAACAACTTTTCTATCCCCAAAAGACACCAATGTCCTGACAAAAATAACTAGCAAATTAGCATTAGCTTTGGCACACCATAGGAATAAACATCCACTGCCCTATCACTCATTCCCTTCATTGCTCTACAAAACCAAGTGAAGTTACATTTCCTGATTCACAGATTGCACTAAAATGTCCTGTGGGAGAAAAATGTGAGAACTGTTATAACATTTTTTGACCCCTTAAGTGTGGCAATGATTCTGTCATATCTTACCAAGTGAATAAGGCAGCAAAATAATCCCCCAGCACTTAGGTAATTTGATTTTAAAAATAAAGTTTAAAATAAGTTTCTTAATTTCTACACAGATTTTAATGAAATTACAGAAAACATAAAAAATTTTGTTATCTTGCTCAAATCCAAACTAGACTTTGTTGATCTATATGCATAGTTAGCAGGCAGTGCAAATATGTAAACTTCTGCAAATCCCATGGTCTATAAGCTTCCTATCAAAGAAAAGGAAAAGATCTCACCCGCTAAATATTCTACACACCTTGGACACAATACTGAATAGAGTGTTATAGACAGGCTTTCCTGATGAAAGCTTTTGGTCACTTTTAGTTTCCTCAAAATGTAAGGAAGCTGGTAATGGGATTTTTAAAAAAACTTTATGAAATGGGAAGGTGATGGCTTCCTCAGACATGGACGCATATAAGATGGCTCTTAGTGTTACTAGTATTATGAGGTGTGTTAGAATACTGGCCTGGCAAAAAATCTTGCTCTTGAAAGCCTGGACAATAATGTACTTCTTTAATTTTTAAATACATTGAGAAGGAAAATAGAAGGTTGCAGTAAAAACAGAAATTTACATGCTGTTTCTCTGAAAATTTGATAATTTGTGAATCCTAGGGGAAAACATGAACTGACTATACCTATGACTCATATTTTTGGAAATAAGACTGCTTCAGAACTCAAAAAATGTAACCAGAAAAAAGCAAGCAGTGAAACAGGACCTTTTCAGTACCTTTGTTAAAATCATAATTTATTTGTAATTCAACTTAGATTTCACAAATGCAAATTACCTCTATGCTTTCAACCATGTTCCCTAAGAAAAAGAGATTTAACTTCTGACATCCAACGTGCTTTAGAGTGCTTAAAAATTATGAACATTTTTGAAATGGGCAGCCTATATGATGAATTAAATATGCAAAGGAACTGACTGATAGGTACCTGGTCTATCAGAAGACACCTACAGAAACAAAGCTAATGAATGTTTTTGGAGAGCTGCAAAATAATTTCTACAAGTCTAAAAATCTGCTGTGTCTAGTAAAAAAAAAAAAAACCAAGTAAGTCATGTTCAAATGCTTTTGTGGGAGATCTTTGCTGATGCCATCACAATGGACTGACACCTGAATTCAGTAAATGTGACTTGATAAAGCAGAGCTTCAAGTCAAAAGCAATTGTACATCTGGCTCTATTCCATTTTGCTGCTGGTTAAAGGAAGGATGCCTGAAAGGTTGCAAGCAATACAGAGAAATATAACTGGAAAATGAAAAAGAAGGAGCCAAAAATATATCTGACCATATCATAGAACAGAAAGAATCCTTTTATTTTTTTTAAATTAAGTTCAATTAACCAACATCATTAGTTTTTGACGTAGTGTTCAGTGATTCATTAGTTTAAAAAAAAGGAAAAGAAAAGAAAGAAAGAATCCTGTCATTATTATTTTTTATTAAGTATAGGGCAAACTTTTAATTTTTCTTATTTATATTCCCCTTTTGAAAATTCTTACATTTATGAATCTTAATATTATACAATAAGCCTGCAAAATTTAAATATCCAGTAAAGACTTTTTAAAAAGAGGTAAATATCAATTGCTATTTCAAAGACTATATTATATAATATTGTCATTATAAAATATTGTTACATTTTTGCTCATATATATTATTTGCTTAATTGGTTGTACTATAAACTACTATCAATTGACTCTAGTAATTAGCTCTATTGTTGTTTTGCTTAAATAATAGCATGTAACAAAAAATCAATAATACAGAATATGTAATTTTAAATAAATACCTATTTTACACATATTTATGTGAAAATAATATATGTGCATAATTATGTTACATGTTAAACTATTATTCCCCCCCTTTTTTTCTTTTGGTCTGATATACAGTCTAATATGGCTGTGTGTTAACTCTGTAAAAAGTTGGTCACCCTAGGTATGCCTTCCCCCTAGTAACCAAGGTTCAAGTAAATCTGCCAAGGAGCTTCAGTATTTATTTGCCCCAAAAGGAAAGGGGGTGAGGGTGGACAGCCTCTGCTCCCAGGTTATTCTAGGTGGGCTCCAGTATCTTCTAAAACCAGGGAATATCCCCCGACACACACACGTATCCTCAGTCCTATCCAGGACTGCTTAATCTCCAAATAATACTCAGGAACCCGAGCAGAGAGATTCTAGAGAGGATACTTCAAAAGATTGGACTGAAGTCCTTACAATGCAGCAAAAAGGAATAAAAGATAGTTTCAAAGAATCTGGTGGCATTAATATAACAATGACTACTAACAAACACTATTTTAAACCAGAAATGTATGAGAAAATCCAAAGTGAACAATCTAAATTAACTAGTCAAATTTTATGCACTGGAATTTTTACTTTTATGTTGCCTAACACTGGGTACACTTTTTTGTTAGTAGACCACGTCAATGTTGATATAAAAAGTACAGAACAAACTTGTACTGTCTTAGATCTTCAAAAATCTTACAAAAAAAAACAAAAACATGTTTGTTGGTATCAGTTGCTTTGTAATCTAGCTTGGAACCTACACTTAATTTTTCTCTTACATGTTGTCTTTGATTCATGAAATTTGAAAGACTAACCAGATGGAGCCTTGTGCCCATCATCTATACTTCCAAATTCTCCCTTCTTCTTCATGCATGTAGGAGGGGCAAACCCCTTTTCACAATGGCAGTGATTTAAATTGTTGCAAACCTGCAGTAATCAGAAAATAGAACAATTATTTTTTAGAACAAAGATGGTTTTCAATAGAGAGCAATGAATATTCTATACTTATTCAACGGAGAAATTTATTTCAGAGAATTTATTCATTCCAGAGAATTTAACTTAAATAGACAAACTCAATAAATTTTCACAAATTTTCTCTTGGAATTGTTCATACTTTAGAAAGCATATTTAGCTTCTGCTGACAAAGCAATTTTTTAAAAAATTCTTCAACTCTTTCCATGGCCAGACCCAAATACTGGCAATTACCAGTAATTTGCCACTATCATTTAGTTGCTAGTTTCACAGAACAGCCCATACGCTAAATTAACAAGCAAGACTAGAAAGAAAATTCTAATGACCTTTGTTTACCAGTTTCTACCTTCTTTCTGTGAAAATAAGATCATTTTGGTTATATAATAATACATGGTGCATATACCACATCCACCCCTTTTATTTACCAAACACTTTATACATCCAGAATCACCTTAAATGTTTCTATCTTCTCTAATAAATAGTTTGGCAAGATTTCTTTTTTTTTAAGATTTTATTTATTTTATTTTTTTTTGAGAGAGAGAGAGAGAACACAAGAGGGGGTAGGGTCAGAGGGAGAAGCAGACTCCCCGATGAACAGGGAGCCCAATGCAGGACTTGATCCGGGACTCCAGGATCATGATCTGAGCCAAAGGCAGTCACTTAACCAACTGAGCCACCCAGGTGCCCTTGGTAAGATTTCTTAAAAAAATAAGATAGAAGTTATAAATTATAGACTATTAAATGACACCAAGCAGCATGAAAATCATTTTAATGATTTTTTTTTTAAATCTCCAAACTGTTTTACAGCATTCTTCAAAGCATCTTGCTAAAATGAAAATTGAAATTACTTACTCCATGGCTATTGCAATAAGTAGAATTGCACTCTTCGTTTCGTATCTGGTATTGAACCTCTACACACACAAATCTGAGGCAATACTAAAAGCAAAAGGAAGTGAAGAATAGTCACACAATCAGATTGTATTCATGGATAATACATAAGAAAAATTCAAGAAAGTTTCAGAATTCATATTATCAAGAACTGACATAAAAATATAAAAAATAAAATACGGTAATAACTGAAACATTGAAATAAATGTGAAATAAGCTACGTGACTTCATTTTTTTTTAAAGATTTTATTTATTTATTTGAGACAGAGAGAATGAGAGAGAGAGAGAGAGCACATGAGAGGGGGGAGGGTCAGAGGGAGAAGCAGGCTCCCTGCCGAGCAGGGAGCCCGATGCGGGACTCGATCCAGGGACTCCAGGATCATGACCTGAGCCGAAGGCAGTCGCCTAACCAACTGAGCCACCCAGGTGCCCATGACTTCAGATTTTAAAGATGGAACCATATGTGAGAAGTTAGAAGTTTTATTTTCTCACCATCTAGCACTAGAAGTCCACTTACAAAGGAAAGTATTTGGAAAAATAATTTAACTAATGCCTGAGTTCAAGAACAATCCAAGAAGCATTTAAAAAATACTTACGCCCAGGCTCCACCTGAGACATCTCTATCAAAATCTCTAGGTACAGGGTCCACATGATTATTGGAGCAACTAAGGTTGAGAACCATGAGGTGGGAGGCTGGGTTCTTAAAATCATGGGTATGAGTAGAACAGATAGTTTACCATTCCTTGAGAAAAAAATTACGAGAAAGAGAACAGCAAGGATAACAGATAATTATATGAGGTAATAGGGCAATGAGAGACTCCCAACAATGAGGTGGCTAAAAGGTCTCCAAAGAAAATGAGTGTTTATTACTGGACCAAATGGACTTGACAGATATATTCAGAACATTCCATCCCAAAGCAACAGAATACACATTCTTCTCTAGTGCCCATGGAACATTCTCCAGAATAGATCACATCCTAGTCACAAAACAGATCTCAACTGGTACCAAAAGACTGGGATCATTCCCTGCATATTTTTGGACCACAATGCTTTGAAACTCGAACTCAATCACAAGAGGAAAGTTGGAAAGAACTCAAGTACATGGAGGTTAAAGAGCATCCTACTAAAGAATGAATGGGTCAACCAGGAAATTAAAGAGGAATTTTTAAAAATCATGGAAACAATTGAAAATGAAAACAGAACTGTTCAAAATCTTTGGGAAGCAGCAAAGGCAGTCCTAAGAGGAAAATATATAGCAATACAAGCCTTTCTCAAGAAACAAGAAAGATTCTCAAATACACAACCTAACCCTACACCTAAAGGAGCTGGAGAAAGAACAGCAAAGAAAGCCTAAACCCAGCAGGAGAAGAGAAATTAAATAAAGATCAGAGCAGAAAACAATGAAATAGAAACCAAAAGAACAGTAGAACAGAAACTAGGAGCTGGTTCTTTGAAAGAATTAACAAGATTGATAAACCCCTGGCCAGACTTATCAAAAAGAGAAGAGAAAGGACCCAAATCCACAAAATCATGAATGAAAGAGGAGAGATCACAACCAACACCAAAGAAACACAAACAATTATAAGAACACATTATGAGCAACTCTATGCCAGCAAATTAGATAACCTGGAAGAAATGGATGCATTCCTAGAGATGTATCAACTACCAAAACTGAACCAGGAAGAAATAGAAAACCTGAACAGACCTATAACTGCTAAGGAAATTGAAGCAGGAATCAACAATCTCCCAACAAACAAAAGCTCAGGACCAGAAGGCTTCCCAGGGGAATTCTACCAAACATTTAAAGAAGAATTCATACCTATTCTTCTGAAAATGTTCCAAAAGATACAAATGGAAGGAAAACTTCCAAACTCGTTTTATGAGGCCACGATTACGTTGATCCCAAAACCACACAAAGACCCCAATCAAAAGGAGAATTACAGACCAAATCCTTGATGAACATGGATGCAAAAAATCTCACCAAAATACTAGCCAATAGGACCCAACCGTACATTAAAAGATTATTCACCACGACCAAGTGGGATTTATCCCTGGGCTGCAAGGTTGGTTCAACATCCACAAATCAATCAACGTGATACAATACATTAACAAAAGAAAGAACAAGAATCTCAATAGATGCAGAAAAAGCATTTGACAAAGTACAGCATCCTTTCTTGATCAAAACTCTTCAGAGTATAGCCATAGAGGTTACATACCTCAATATCATAAAAGCCATTTATGAAAAACCCACAGCAAATATCATTCTCAATGGGGAAAAACTGAGAGCTTTCCCCCTAAGGTCAGGAACACAGAAGGGATGTCCACCATTACCACTGCTATTCAACATAGTATTAGAAGTCCTAGCAACAGCAATCAGACAACAAAAAGAAATCAAAGGCATCCGAATTGGCAAAGAAGAAGTCAAACGCTCACTCTTTGCAGATGATATGATACTTTAGGTGGAAAACCCAAAAGACTCCACCCCAAAATTGCTAGAACTCATACGGGAATTCAGTAAAGTGGCAGGATAGAAAATCAATGCACAGAAATCAGTGGCATTCCTATACACCAACAACAAGACAGAAGAAAGAGAAATTAAGGAGTTGATCCCATTTACAATTGCACCCAAAACCATATGATACCTAGGAATAAATCTCACAAAAGAGGCAAAGGATCTGTACTCAGAAAACTATAAAATACTCATGACAGAAATTGAGGAAGACACAAGAAATGGAAAAACGTTCCATGCTCATGGATTGGAAGAACAAATATTGTGAAGATGTCAATGCTACCTAGAGCAATCTACACATTCAATGCAATCCCCATCAAAATACCATCCACTTTTCAAAGCAATGGAACAAATAATCCTAAAATTTCTCTGGAACCAGAAAAGACCCCGAATAGCCAGAGGAATGTTGAAAAAGAAAAGCAAAGCTGGCGGCATCACAATTCTGGACTTCCAGCTCTGTTACAAAGCTGTCATCATCAAGAGAGTATGGCACTGGCACAAAAACAGACACATAGATCAATGGAACAGAATAGAGAGCCCACAAATGGACCCTCAACTCTATGGTCAACTAATCTTCCACAAAGCAGGAAAGAATGTCCAATGGAAAAAAGACAGTCTCTTCAACAAATGGTATTGGGAAAATTGGACAGCCACATGCAGAAGAATGAAGCTGGACTATTTCCTTACACCACACACAAAAATAGACTCCAAATGGTTGAAAGACCTCAATGTGAGACAGGAGTCTCATCAAAATCCTAAAGGAGAACACAGGCAGCAACCTCTTCGACCTCAGCCACAGCAATTTCTTCCTAGAAACATCGCCAAAGGCAAGGGAAGCAAGGGCAAAAATGAACTATTGGGAGTTCATCAAGATAAAAAGCTTTTGCACAGCAAAAGAAACAGTCAACAAAACCAAAAGACAACCGACAGAATGGGAGAAGATATTTGCAAATGACATCTCAGATAAAGGGCTAGTATCCAAAATCTATAAAGAACTTATGAAACTCAACACCCAAAGAACAAATGATCCAATCAAGAAATGGGCAGACGATGTGAACAGACAGTTTTCCAAAGAAGACATCCAAAGGGCCAACAGACACATGAAAAAGTGCTCATCATTGGGCATCAGGGAAATCCAAATCAAAACCTCAATGAGATACCACTTCACACCAGTCAGAATGCCTAAAATTAACAAGTCAGGAAATGACAGATGTTGGCGGGGATGCAGATAAAAGGGAACCCTCCTACACTGTTGGTGGGAATGCAAGCTGGTGCAACCACTCTGGAAAACAGTATGGAGGTTCCTTAAAGAGTTGAAAATAGAGGTACCATATGATCCAGCAATTGCACTACTGGGTATTTACCCCAATGATACTAATGTAGGGATCTGAAGGGGTACGTGCACGCTGATGTTTATAGCAGCAATGTCCACAATAGCCAAACTGTGGAAAGAGCCAAGATGTCCATTGACAGATGAATGGATAAAGAAGATGTGGTATAGATATACAATGGAATATTATGCAGCCATTGAAAAGAATGAGATCTTGCCATTTGCAATGACGTGGATGGAACTGGAGGGTATTATGCTGAGCGAAATAAGTCAATCAGAGAAAGACATGTATCATATGATCTCACTGATAAGAAGAATTCTTAATCGCAGGAAACAAACTGAGGGTTGCTGGAGTGGTGGGGGTTGGGAGGGATGGGGCGGCTGGGTGATAGACATTGGGGAGGATATGTGCTATGGTGAGCACTGTGAATCATGCAAGACTGTTGAATCACAGATCTGTACCTCTGAAACAAATGATGCAATATATGTTAAGAAAAAAAAAGAAGAAGAAGATAGGAGGGGAAGAATGAAGGGGGGGGAAATTGGAGGGGGAGACGAACCATGAGAGACAATGGACTCTGAAAAACAAACTGAGGGTTCTAGAGGGGAGGGAGGTGGGAGGATGCGTTAGCCTGGTGATGGGTATTAAAGAGGGCATGTTCTGCATGGAGCACTGGGTGTTATACACAAACAATGAATCGTGGAACACTGCATCAAAAACTAATGATGTAATGTATGGTGATTAACATAACAATAAAAAATTTTTAATAAGAGAGAAGGAAAAAAAAGAAAATGGATGTTTAATGTGTGAATTTACACTGTTCTACTTTACGGCATTAATTTTTGTGCCCTTTCCTAATTACTGAAAAAAAGTTCAGTAAATTCAATATTTTGCGAAAGGGTTTTATTTTTTAAGTGAATTTTGTCTTTGGATCATAGTAACAACCAGGTATGCAAAAAGAAGAGGACCAGGACCCTGGAAAAAAGAGATTTGAACCAATATCCTTTAGAATTCAAGGGGAGAGAGACCTCAGATCATATATGTATTCCATGTGCTTACAGATGAGCAAGATGTGATAGAAACCTTGGTTATTTTTATGGACTATCATCAAAATGTATCATATAGAAATAAATTTGAATTTAGCAAGCACAACTTATTAATTTCTCTCAAAAAAGGGATGTCAGAAAAAGAAAAATATATGCTTTCAC